CAACATTGTGTGGTTTTGATAGATAGTACAGGTAGAGAGAAATTTCTTAAAAAGAAAACGAGCTGAGATCAAATTAGTGTCAAAATTATTTTTCACGTTCAAAAAAGGATTGAAGAGATTAAAGTATGTCTTCCCTTATAACAAAGTTGTTTAACTAGCTCTAATGTATTATGAAATATTAGCTAATAGCTCAAACTTCCATGAATAATACCCTCATGAGCGTCAGTAATTTTACAACGTGTTAAGCTTACATTAAATACCAAACACATACTATGATTGGTAAGAAATTTAGTTTCGAATTGCAATCATCCACCTAAATCGGTTATGATTAAAGCTTTATAACCCATCGGAAATTTATGTGATTTTAGGTAAAGGTTAATTTGATATACTTAATTATTAAGCATCCAGCTTCATATCTTTTATTTTAAAGAATGTATTTAAACCATTCTTGCTTATGGCTACATATTAGGTTGACATAAAGCAACAAAGCATTCAACACCTGTGATAACTGGGATGAAATCAATTGTACCTCTGCAGACATGTGTGTTGCCAAAACAAACCAGCTTTAGGATTATAGTATAATAAATGTTGAAAATGTTAATTTACTTCATAGTCTACCCAAAGTATTTTTCTATTTAAGATAACACACTGATCATATGAGGTGGAAAAGTAGTATAAATATCAGTTTCATTTGTCCTTTTTCTGAACGAAAAGAAAAGTATTATTTACAACGTGGAATGACATTAAACTTAACTCTTTCTGCTATAAAACATCATATTTCTGTTATATCCAAGGTATTTTATTAATAAAACATTGTGCTAAAAATAACAATGATCAGTAACTAAAATTTGTCCAACCTCTCAAGTTGAAAATACAAAACGTACCAAATTAGACACGGAAGCTAAACGTGTTGCTAACATGTTGCTACACGTGTTCCGGAAATACATGCACATTACCACAGTACAGTAGTACTTCGTATGGGTAAAAGATATATGACACACGTAAAATCACTTATATATATGCGTTTTATTCTTTAAAAGCCTTCACCCATTCATTAATTCCGTTTTTTATATTAACATATTACAATTTTTTCACTTGTTTATATTCTTGTGTATTCTATTACTAAGATACTATGTATAATAACTTGTAATATACTCAACACGTGTGCTCCACATAAGAGTATACTTTCCTTATTCTATAAATTTACATACTTTTCCGTATTAACCTATTTTATTCGACTATAGTTAAAGTAACTAATATGCTACTACATGCCTGACGTTTTCCACCAGCGTGAGAACACTTGCTTAAATGTTACATTTAAACAAACAAATGTATTATGGTATATTAAAGTACAAAATTTCCCTGAAGCTTGAGAAATCCATTAAGGCCTCATTGGCTATAGTGTTGTGTATATAATTTCCGCTACTTATAAAAGTTTGCAAGTAAGTCTCATTGTTTCCATCTTTTAAAAAAAGCGAGGGAATAGCTCTAACTTCACATGACAAAAATTATGTTATCGAATTACTAAATAACACATTATTTCTGTTGTCAACATATACAAGTGGCTCTTATATATAAATTGCTTAATCATTCAATCATAATATTTAGAAGTGAGGTAAGTTTGAAATATAAGCCAATATTTATTCTGTAAAACGAGCTCATGACCAAACCTGAATCTAACTAAGACGTATATAGATTTATCCAAAAAAAAAAGGAAATGGTAATTTTTACACTTGGGCAATTCAGGCGTCATTCGATATGGAAATAAGTCTTAAAGTCTTACTCAAGTTGCGTACATTAAGTTAGTTTTTTCTTAATCATCACACGTAAAATATTCTTCCTCGTTAATAGAACCATTTCTTAGTAAACGATTGATTCAGAACTGTAATTGCAAACTTACAATTAATCTCTTATGACTAAGGACCAATTACCTTAGAATTTCGTTACTATGACGTCAACTTTTATACACTTTTAAAAAATATATTCCAGATTTTTTCCACAAAACAGAAATTAATAGAAAATTCTGCTATTCTTGTTCTTTCGATATGTTTGTGATGTTTCGACGAAAAACAATTTTTACTCTTGAATTTCAAAACTACACGTCATATGTTTCCAAGTAATAATAAGGCAAAACCCGCCTTCTTAGTTTAGTTTAGGTTGGATACAATAAGTTGTTTATAATAAAATAAATCCGTATATAGAGGGCTTTTAAAATGGAATATATGATATTATAAAGATACTTAAGAAGGCTAGGACGCTGTTATGTGTACTTGGGCTATGATTTTTGGGCCGTGCGTGGCCTAGGTATTAGCGTATCCCTACTGTAAATCATGGATTACGTCCCGTTGCCGCAAAAACCCTGTTCCGCACTTTGGGGACGTGAGCGCGCAACAAAAACTGGCTAACAAATTCTGCTATTTGATCAGACAAGAATAACCCAAGAGTTGACAGTGGGTAGTGTTGACTATATCTGCCTTCCCTCTAATCTATCAATTCAAAATTATGGACGGTTATGTGCATAAAATGTTTGTTTGGTTTTGTGCGAAAATTCCAAACTAACAAACAATTTATGAATTCTTATTGTTCAACGTGAGACAATGAGAAGCGTAACAATGTCTTGAATACACGCCGCGTTGTTAGATAAGACAAACACTATACAAAACAAAGATAACTCTTCCTGGAATTATCTTTTTTATGGTTTAACCTTGAATCATGTGATCTTTATTCCTGGGAGTGAGAGAGGAATGTCAATATAAAGAGACGAGTAATGAGAGAGGAGGATTGATAAGGATTTGGAGACGGAAAGAGTGGACAATGGAATATGTTGCTGATAAGAAAGTCGTTTTTCTTATCAAAAGCTCAACTAGATAGAAACTGGAAATTAATTATCCGTTGAAGCCTTATATAAAATATTACCATGATATTTGAGGATCACATACAATAGTTAAATTTCTTTCTCAAACACATTATACAATACTCAAAAAACAGTGGCGTTTCAGAAAGATGTGAATATGCGAAGGTTGAGTTCTACCGTAAATAATAATATGGAAATAAATTTAATTCTAATCAACACAATAAACATCTTGTGTATTAAGTGGATCTATGGTCGAAACATTCTACAATAAAAATAGACCTCAAGACGGGTAACGGTCAAGAAATATGTATGAAAACAGTTAGACCATTTATTTTCACAATATTACTAAAAATTAAAACTGTCCTTCCGGTGGGTCAGAGGTAACCTTACGAACTTACAACGCAAAGATCCGGGGTTAGATTCTCCGCCGTGGACAGAGCTTAGATAAAGTTTTGCTCCAAACCAAACGAAATGGGGACCACTCATAGAGAAGCATTATCATAGGAGTTCGTTTGTCTTTTCTCCAAAGCCAACAATTTTGATAAAACTGTTATTTTTAATCATTATAACTCAATGTACTCATATATTATACGTAACATCAATAACAACTTATGGTTTCTTATTTGTGCCTCATATTAACACGTTTCGTGGGAAAAATAACAAAATAAAACTTTGATACGTTTCATCTTTTATAAACATGGATTTTAAAAACAGGTTATTTGTTATAGTTATCATGTTAGTAAAAGTTAAAATTACGTGTCAGCATTTTGTTTGTTTACTTGTTTTGAACCTTTCAGTCTTAAAATGTTAATAGAAATGTCAATTTGCTAGCCGTAAGTCTTTTTACTAAACTAATCATTACAACTGTAGCTCTTTTTGATATAATATTATAACAATATATCTTTTTACTAAACTAATCACTACCATTGTAGCTCTTTTTTGACATAATATTATAACAATATATCTTTTTACTAAACTAATCACTACAATTGTAGCTCTTTTTGACATAATATTATAACACTATAACATGGTTGATACATTTGTTTTATTGCACTTTGCAGAAAAGCATAAGTTTAGAAATTGGGTGTTTGTTTGATACATTGTTCGTAGAAAATACCACATTAATTAAAAGTTGTTTTATTTGACTAGTAAAAAAATAATTTATAGATGATCTTCTTTTTATTAGTTTAACTCTTATCATGCAAAAGAAAACGTTACAATTCTGTGAAAAGTATTTTTTGCTAGAATACTGTCATGCAGATACATCAGAAAGTCGCTTAATAACAATTCTGCACCCTCCCTCTACGATAGCTCAGTAGTGGGCTTAAAGGCTTTTTATGCAAAAAATTACATTGTCTAACTTTGTACTTAAAAACAAACGAATAATACTCTCTCGGCATACATCTGTAGCTTCTGCCGTTTGGCGATAAAAGTGTTCAATATAGAATACTCATTGTGATATATATAAAAAACTACAGTAAAGTATTTTTCTTTCTGTAGTTAATTAATATTAATCATATATATTTAAACTTTATATTTTGACACCTTATATTTTTCTCTTTACATTTTTTATTTATTCACAATTATCACAATAAATTAAAAGCTTTAAATAAATAATTAAAAAATTGCTATCAGGAAGTTGTCATTCTAAGGTTCAAGACTTTTGTATTTAGAATTTAGTTATCGTATGATGGGCTCTTCGCTTGGTAGAGGGCGTTTCAATAACAAGGAAGTGATGCAAGCAAGACACGGCCCGCGAGCTAGTTAGTATGGACTTGGGAAGCTTTCGATTGCCACGTGTTCGTGAAATGCAGGAAAAACTGTAAACAAATTTTTTGTCAACTAAAGAAGACAAAGGAAGTGATAAATGAAATACAAGCATAGACTTTAGAGCACTTTTATAATTTACCAAACTTTTATAACATAAAATACAAACTAACAGTATTCTGAGAGTCTACAAAAAGTTACGAGAAGTATATGAGTGGGTATAGCTAGACTGGTGGTCATCACGAAATAAGTATCAATATAAAACTATACAGGAGGAAAGAAGACATAAAATATGTGTCAAAGGATACATGAAAGATAATGAAATATGAAAACCGTGAAACATCTATATCAATTCGTTAGAAATGAAAGAGAAACTACAAAAAAAAAGTTTGGTTTTCAATACTTCCTGTGACTATCGATAGTTAACGAACGCAAGATGAAAAAGGCGTCATTGAAATACAGCTGTAAAACGCTCCAAGTAAGTTATCTAGCTATCTGTTTTTGTATTAATCTTGTGCCTTTGATATTAAAACATTAATTTCTTTTGTGCAAACTTTAACTTATTAAGTTTAGCTAATACTTTATAATATAATTTTGACATATTTCATCGTTTCTATTCCTGCGGGTTAAATTAACAATTGAAAATCCTTTAGATAATTAGCAGATTAATATGCTATTTTACCTAATATTAGCCTGTATTAATTTACTCTAGTCACTATTTGTTAGCAAATATTGTACAAAATACGATTCAGTCAACATTTGTTTACGAAGCTAACTTCATTGCAATACACTGTGAAGGTGCGCAGAAAAACAAATCGACAGGGGCTGCTTCTACTGTTATGTCATTATGAATTATGTTTTGTTTTTGTTATTTTTCAAATGTTATACTTTAAGTTATCTAACTTGTTACATTTTTATTATATTGAAAACTGGAGCTCGACTCGCAATCTGAGGGTCGCGGGTTCGAATCCCCGTTCCACCAAACATGTTCGCCCTTTCAGACGTGGGGGCGTTATAACGTGACGGTCAATCTCACTGTTCGTTGGTAAATGAGTAGCCCAAGATTTGGCGGTGGGTGGTGAGGACTAGCTGCCTTCCCTCTAGTCTTACACTGATAAATTAGGGACGGCTAACGCAGATAGCCCTCGTGTAGTTTTGCGCGAAATTCAAAACAAACAAACAAATTGAAAACAAGTAAATAGTTTATTCGTAATGAACGTTCTTCATTCATAGTGACGATAATGTAACATTGTTATGTTGACATGTTGCAGTCCAGTGCATATTAAAAAATGTGGGATCGCACAATCGTCGCGAATTTAAAATGCTTCTTGAGTTACACTCAACCCAATATACTCTCGCTTATAGCTATTCAATCTTTATTTTAAAACGATTCCTTAAAATCTGCTCATAACGATCGGTACTTTTATACAGAGCACAAACATGAAAAAATAATAACTATGATGGTTATACTCCTATCGCTTACATCTATTAATTCATATCAAACTTGTTAAATACATGCAAATTCTAATCATGACTTCTGGGCTTGCCATAATCAACCATTTAACAATTAATGTACATTGTCGGTGAGCAACAATTGACAAGTCAAGTACCCACGTGCACTACAAAAACACTGACTTACCACTTTATTAGTTTGCTCTTTCCAGATTGTAGTCTGAGATGAGTGAACTTCAAACAAGTAGTTGGTTGTCACGTTACCTTTTCTTCTGTAATGTTTTTATGGTAATTTTGGACACAACTTGACGCCTGTTCAGCTTTTTTACAAGTTTGGCCAGTAGTATTTTCTCCAAATCACTCAGTGCTCAGCGGTTTGTGGCCACGGGTTTTTCCCGATGAGAAAGGTGTTTTGTTTCGAGTTGTGTTGATGGGTCTGTTTGAAAAACCAGTTAAGCATCCACTATAAGGCCCTTTAGAAAATAGGTGGGTTTTTTGCTCTCACAAATAATCTTGTGGTACAAACCTGATATGATTATATTACATATATAAATTTTAAGGACTAAAGCAATCATCAGTTTATTTTACATATTTAAATAAGCGTGTATGTCTTTTTAGAAGAGTGTGTCTAGAGTCCTAATAAAGTGACCAATCAATGTAAATCGTTCTCTAAGAATAAGTTATCAAAAATTATAATTTATTTATTTTTAATCTACTTTACTCTGTATTCAAATGTTTAACCACAAAACGTTTTCTAGAATCAATATATTTATTCAAGAAACATAACAAGGACTTGACCTAGGCTTAGTAGTTAGTATACTGAGCAGTGGTCAAAATTGTCAAAGGGACGAGCTCGCGATATGCCACTGAACGTTTTCCGTACGCTGAGTTGTAAACGCGTTAAATTTAACGTGACAGCCAGTCTCATTATTCGATTAAGGGTAGGCGGCGAGTGCTGCTGACTGGTCGTACTGCCTATGATCAATAGTTCTAAATTAAGGGCAGCAATACCTCAACTTTGGTGACTCTGACCTGGCTGCCCCCACCAACGAGTAGCTCAGCAGTAAGTTTCTGGATTTATGACGCTAAAAATCGGCTTTGGATACCCATGGTGGGCTCAGCCGAAATAGCCTATTATGTAGCTTTGTTCTTAGATCAACAAACCAACTGAACTGACCGTTTAACCTATAATGTGTCATTCGGTTTAAAAATACGAAATATTAATGTTGTAGAGAATAATTTGTTCCCATGTCCTATAAACAGCTTTCATTGCTTCTGGGTGAATTCACGGAATAGCCCTCCCTCCCCCCTCTCAGTGTTAATGGTCAGGTGTTTTTAGTATAAATGTTCTTGATACTTATGATTTTGGCTACTAATAAACACTGCAGTTTTAGCAGGTTTTCCATAAGTTCATTCAGGATATCTATTCAATGATTTTAATAACGACACATAGGAGTATTCACGATGTGTGGTATTCAAACGGTGCCATATGAGATGGCTCCGATTATACGATGTTTATACAATGCAAGTTCCACTATAGGTGGTTTTTGCGAAATACACTGAGGTCAATGTTGTCTCATTTTTATTTTATTCCAAAGTCAATCGACTGCGTAGACGACGACTTTCGGGGACCTGTTTGAGCAACTGAAAGGCACAGAAGTCCATAGGATATGCATTTGGTGAGATAACTGATATGTATACGAAAAGTATAAAATGAATTCCTGTCTGTACTTGCGGAGGAATTGGCATGTTGACTTGAACGTGTATCTGAACGCTTTATCTTGATGGAATCACACCTTATTGGCATCCAGTTCCTACAAAAGTGTATTTCCCTGTGTTACATTGAAGCTAGACTGAGCATTTTTTTTTTTTTTTTTACTTCTAGATGTACAACGTACCATTATAATTGTAGCCTGCAACCATGTGACGACATACTTCAATTTATTTATCACATGCGTTTCTTTGTAATTATGCACAAAGTAGCACAATGGGCTATCTGTGCTCTACCCATCACGGGTATCGAAATCCGGTTTCTAGCGTTGTAAGACCGCAGACGTACCGCTGTGCCACTGTGAGATAATACTTGTACAGATTTTGACAGTTGATCTTCCACTGGACTATATTTTTCAGAGGAAGGCTGTAAACACAAATCTTGTGTCGCTTTCGTAAGACTAAATCCAAATGAGTTATCTCGAATACAGTTCCAATGGAGTTCTATATTGTAGATGAAAATGACAAATCTGTTCTCGGGTAACGTCTTGTATGTAAGCTGTTTAACTTTCTCAACTATCTTCTGTGTATGTCTGGTAGCTGATCACGAATAAACTTTACTGATTCAGTTGAGCACTAAACATATCCTTTTCTTCGAAACACTAAAATTTTGTGTGTTGTATACTAAATGCAGATTATAATAATTTTGTGTCCGAAAATTCTGTGATATAATTCCCCCAGAAGAAGTTTATTTTAAGCGTTATCTGTTTTTTGTAAATCATTACATTTCAATTGAATTGCAATACAAGAGTCAGGGGTTTTAACCTTTGTAATTATAGGCCTCAAGGATTGTAAAAAGCAAGGTGGTTGAATGTGTAAATTATTATCATGGAACTTAAATAACTCTCATTATGACTAATCAATACACCCCCTTGCCTGACAATTGAATAAAATGTCTGGCTGTGTAAGTCCAGAAAAGGCTAGCGTTGTCTATGCTATTATTAATACTTATGGCTTTTTTTTCTTTTAAACTCTGAAATAGATTAGAGTTTATCGACCTTTGACTCAGCTTTCATACAACTTTTCATAAAGCCAGGATTAGGATTATTCCACTATTCAATGGCTGCTAAACGATGTTGTAATAACTCATAATGCAGTATTCCTACTTTAATTCTCAAAACTTCTCCAATACAGTGAAAGTGAGGTTTCTTTTTTTTTTGGTATATCCAAGCCCAAAATCCTGTCTGGATTAGTTAGCAACTATTATCATTAATTCATTCAATTAATTATCCATTTTCTAAATAATCCTAATGTTTTACTTAAAATGTTAATTCTAGGCTGATTATTTTTGCCTATTTATTCAAAAGGAGTTGTTATATGTTTGTACCAAGTAAAGTAATCGAAAACCCCACATCACTCCTGGTTTTGTCATTTATGATAATGGAAGCATAACTTTTTCACATAATTCTCCCATTAAGATATGACCTGACGTAAGCCATTACCTCAAATAAAGCTTTTTTTCTTTTTACATCGAATATGCTATACATATACCTATGTTTTTGTCACGTGTTTCCATTATGTGTTTCCTCACAGTTCTTGGTCTGCCTCTTATCTTTGACGTTCAAGTCCAGTATAGCTAAACCTCGCTCACTTATCTTGGGTGCCTCACTCACTAAGTTGTCTACGAAGCCTCAATGAGACTTACGGGATTATAATCTAGCACTTTTGCATGGGACTCGGATGATCAAAATGGCCTCTAGGCGTGGCACTATTCTGTAGTATCTTGCAAACTTTAATGGTAGCTGTTTTAAAAAGTTCATAGTACAGGACACTGTGTGAAAACCCTCCTCATTCTACCTGTTTGCTTACAGAAAAAATTAATCCGTACTTTATTGCTACCGACTCATAAAGGCATCCTTGGCTGGAATCGCAGGATATTTATATCCACGGTTAGTTTGGATTGTATTACCAAACTGCTTTTTTATGCAAATTATCAGTGGGCAGCAATGTTGTTAATGATTCCTTGCCTTGCCTTTTGCTTAAAATCTCATACTCCAACAGTTATCACCAAATACGCATGCGTATCTGAAGTCTAAGATAATAGTGTTTGATCCCTAGAACTGATATTCACTGCTTTGCTTGTTGAAGATGTATGTTAAGCAGAAATGTAAAGATCTAGCCAAGTAAAATGCTTGCTGCCTTGGATGTCCCTTATAACACTAGAAAAACTCTAAGTAGCAATAAGTCCTGCAAGTTTGTAAGTTAACATGAGAACAGGTATGTTTCTAGAAAATTAAACAGACGGGTTACACAAAC